TTGCTGCACAAAATGGATTTCGTCCAGTGCAAGTGTAGGGATTATTTGGCGTACATGTCACTCCAGTGCCTAAAAGTTTTGATTTTACGTGAGTTTTCTGATTTTTTTTTCAGATTGCTTTCTCAGAGAAAGAGAAGCTCTTCGAAGCATAGCCGGATGGGAAAAATGTTAGTTCCGTACGAGCATAGGAGCAGTGCCCGCTCATGAAATGGATATCATAAGCTAAGTCAGTTGGTCATTTGAGAAAAACCAGCTTTGTTCAAACTAGTGCACTTTTTATTGTTCCAATACTATAGTCTTTCTTGTGAACGTCGAAAAGAGTCAGAACGAAAACTCATTCGAGCATGGCATAAATCTAAAGGAAAAAAGACTAGAAAATTGATTTTGTACCGGTAAAGGTGCCACCCCATTAAATCTAAAGGCAAAATGTTTGATACGGCCCTTAAAATCCGGCTGCATCAACCAACTACAATTACCATCAACCATTCCATGCGCACGGTTTGCAACCACGCTTGGAACTTGTGCTTCCCATGGTCTTTTCAAGAGAATATGAACGATTAAAAAATATGTTTCACCTTCTTTGTAATCCAAACACTGAGATAATGTCGGAACGTATGTTAAATCATGTGACTGCCAACTTAGAGAGCAATCTGCAATAATAATTCCATATGACGAGTAAACAAATATAGCACAAAACTCATAATTATCACTTACTATCACTTCAGTCTCGTATTTCGCTTAGTACACTGCCAAAAAAGTTAATGTAGCCGAGGAAATTCTCTACAAGTCTAGACGCTTCAGTATAGAAATATAGAAAAATATAGAAAAATAAAATAAAAACATAGAAAAATATCTACGTCGTTCTTGAAGTTGGTTTAAACTTATCTAACTAAATAGCTTTCACCAATGATTTCTATTGACCAATAGGTAGAATATGAGTAACAATGACGAACCTGGCCTTTCAGGAGGTGGAACAGGCGGTTGTGCCACGGATCTAACAAGTAACCAATATAACTTAAGTAGAACGAAGACGATGTTCATGCTTGAACGTGATATGGTCAACGATGTCGCTATGGTCAACAATCAGTCATGATCACTCGAACGGAATCAGTTCAGTCAACATTTGTCGTTGTCACGCCACGAAACCGTGCTGGTCATCCATGCAATTGTGTGATTACTGTAGTGCAGTACGTATGCGGTGGTGTGCATTTATACTACTCATTACTATACAGTCATTTGCTACACGTGATTCTGACGACGACGACAGTAGCGAAGAGGTCTACATGGACAGTAAGTAACACCGCCGTTGGTAACTTCCACGAAATCGACACTTTCATGAGTCTTAACCGGACCTATTGTCCCCACAAAAATATTTGCCCTGTTTACACGTCCTTATTAATCTATGTCTGATTTGTTGATTACAAGTTTTTAATCCATTTTTCATTACAGTATGCGAGCATCCTTGGCAAACACATGAACAGAATATTCTGGCATCATATTCACAGTGTTCAGAATTCCAAGACCATGGTGATTTATATCATGTTTACTTATTTACTTGAGTACACTGACTAGTTCAGATGTTCTGAGTAAAACTTAGTAATGATATTAAAAAATCATGAACACGTATCCCTAAGCCTCCATTTACACTCTTTACCTTGTTTCGATCCCATCAGTAACAACGCAGTTATGTTGCGGTTTTTACTTGTAAATAAGTTATAAAAGTTTTGTTTCGACCATACCACTGATGACGGAAGCAGATGATCTATAGATTCGGGTAAATATGGCTGGAAGGGGGGGGGGGGGGGGGGGGGGNCGTGGAATGTTCTCATCATTACACCTTTAGTTCTAACAAAAATAGTTGAATTGCTTCATTTACTCAAAACCAACCTGACCTATGCCCTTTATATTTCCAATTTCAATCTTCTGAACATTGGCTTTTCTACGGGAGAGTATGCGCTTTTGGTTAAATATGCCTCCAAGATCATTACAGGCCGCAGATTTCTATTCCATCATCCAATATGAACCTACAAATTCAAAATTTTAATTCCTTGTTGGCCTTGCGGCCTATGCGGTTGTTTGATCCATTTCTTACTGGATTTTGCTTGTAGGAGTTCGCTGCACTCCTCATGACCCCATCGAATGTACTGGTAGAAATCCGGTCTGTGTGTTCTCGAAACAAACCAAAGACTATCGCTGTTGCTCGGATGTCCCACAAGATTTGAGCAATCCACCTGGTATTCCGGAGCAAGTCAAACCAAGTGAGTTGATTACCTGTTTAAATATTGGATGATGTCATATGACACGCACTTACTAAAAGTGAATCAGTAACCGCTGCGCGACCGCACGCTCGAGTACTGTATACTGCGGCGATATGATTTTACAAGCCATAAATTTGTCTGACATTTCAGTTTGTCCATACGGTGCTTCGTCTTATGATATTCCATCAGTGCTTTTGTGTGATCCAACGGAGACGGATGCATGTCCAGAGGAATACACATGTGAACAGGTCAAATTTAGATGGCTGTACTTTGTTGAATAGTAGTATTCTGTTATGCCACTACAGAGTAAGATTTTTTTTGTTTAATTCCAGGCAGTAAATCATCAAATGTTGGTTACTTACAATATGCATTTGTGCTGCAAGACGTCTACACTGGATTCGTTCGAAAATGGTAATTGTTTGTACAGTTTTTACATTGTAACTGGTACCCAGAATTACGCTTTTTTACAACTACGGGCGCTTTATGTGGATAGCAAAGTTTGAGATCGTTCGTCGTGTTAGTTCCATTCTGTATCTAAAAATGTTTCAAAAAACGATCGTTGGCAGTATTTTCCTGCGAAAGACAGCAGAGTTGCCAGCCCCGCCCCCAATAGGCAGTTCCGCCCATGTACTCTAGTAAATGGTCTTCAGGGCGGAATTTTGTTGTTTTTGTTGTAGTTGCGATGCAAAAAATTCCCAAAGATGATGCATGTAGATTACTGTACTTTGTAAAGGAAACTTATGCTCCGCTTGTGAATGTAAGAATGAGCTCGGGGGGAGCTGGGAGAAACCGGCTACTCTTGGGCTTCTGTAGTCCGTAATGGGAAATTATGTGAGCAGACTCATTTCTCTGATTTTCAACGGATATTTCTTTTCAATGGAACTCGGGGTAAGCTTTCACATTTATTTTATGTGGGAAAATCATCGAACCTCGTACTTTTGAAGCTCACAGTCTGTCCCAATTAGCTTGTTTTTCGTACCTCTTTTTTTNNNTTTTTTTCAGATGAAACTTTAGGATATTTCAGTGTTTTACGAGACAAAAGTGGGAATCAATAAAATGTCCGCGAATATATCTATGCCATTGTTCTATGTGACTTCCATCTCTCCGTCGATCATTCCGCATGCTCCTTTGCGAGGAATCGATTATGTGAGTCACTAAGGTTTTGAAGGTTCAGTTCATACTAATTTTGGTGACATTCCATGGAAATCATTATGGTTTAGATCGTTCTCAATGAGCATTCTGCAACGAGTACCAATATACCACCGGAAATCCGTACTGGCGATCATTTCTCCATGCTACCTTACCGTTTCCGGAAACCTGTCTATCTCAAAAAGGTCAATTATCGAGTTTGTTTCTGGTAATTCGGTCGGAGGATAGGCGAATAGTCTATTTTAAATGTCGGGTATCGAACGAGTAGGCAAAATTCTGTGATTGGTGCATTGCTTCAAACACCAATCACAGAATTTTCCCTTCCTGTTAGATGGAAAGCGTCCGTTGCGCTGGTCCGTCGAAAGTAGGTCACCCCGCGCACTTCGCGCGCGGCGCACCTTTTTGAGGTTCTGAGACGCATTACAGTACCAACAAGTGTTAGTGGAGCGAATGATTTGCATNAGTCCGTGTTATCTTCTCTTTCGGTTGACTGCGTGAACCAAGCGCAAATCGTATGCCCCATTAACAACTGCGACGTCCGTCAAGTATCGTGTACTGATCTGCCGCATGCGACGGCTGCGGCATGACCTAGTTTCGGCGGAAGCGTGCAACGGAGCGCACCCCATTGGAGATATTGTAATTTTTTTATTTAGGTTGTGTTACTACACGAACAGATGCGCAATGAATTTCATCACGTTCTCGTCCTTTACAGTGGGTATTAATGGATTTGTCTCGAACTTTTGAATGCCAAAATTAGTGTTTATAGGCATTGTACATTATAGTAGTAACATTTTTTCGCTTTTCGGGGAGAGCTCTACTCTCTCACATAACTTCTGAATAATGTAAAAACGTACTGAATTTCTGAGAGTTGCCGGAATGGGAGGGCAAAGGTGGTAATGCAATTGCTGGGCATCCTGGAACTGTTACTCATATGAAGTTTTCTGCTTTGATGGGAGGGGTCACAGGTTTTGTCATTCTGAAGCATTTTTCTATGGTACCATATAACAAGCGAAAATTCGAGCGCGGATACCAACTTTCCGGAAATATTACGCGCTACCAGAGGCGTCTTTCCTGTAAAAACATGTTCTGCCATAAACTTGGTAGAGGGATTCTGTGCTGGCCCATGTTCTGCTCTTTATCCCATGCCATTTGATACGTAATCAATTGGAGGGGCGGGCCTTTCCGTGAGGGGCGTGCAATCCTGGCCTTTAGCTGTAATGACAACGCTTGCTCTTTTTTGCCGCTTCGAAACTAACTCTTCTATCAATCACGCCACCATGAGGTTTTCTGTAAAACAATCGCAAAATGAGCTGAAAGGGTTCTCTTGGCCACGGAATCATGTCAACTCATTTACAAATGCCTCCTCTTTTTCTATCGCACCATTCTGATACCAGTTCTTCATTCTGGATATGCAGCAATTTCAGTTGACCAGGGTGGGCTCGTACGTTGAAAATATTAACTATGTGTCAACTTTTTTGAAAGCATAGAAAGGGAATACTAAAACCATTTTTGAGTTCAGATCCACATGGCAATCCTGAAGCGATGAATTTCTACTACAATAGGCCATCATCGTTGAGCAGAGATATCGATTTAACCATACCAGCATGGGACGAAGGCATTTTCTTCAGAAATATGAACAGGGTGCTCACAATACAGAACGATCAGATCTCTACAAAACAAGGTGAGCCAATTCTGCTTTCANCCACCTGAAACATTTACTTTTCTGCAGTTTCTTACCTTATTACGCGGTCTCAATGAAAATTTTTAGTGAGGAAACTCTACATCGTTCTGGTGTTCCTAACGAAGGTCCGCCTGACAGTGCGAAATCCACAAACGTGGCGTGATTTTCATGCAAACTATACCTCCTTTACGGAACTCTTATCAAGTGAAACAGGAAAATTCCTTGGAGTACCAGTTGCAGGCAGCTACTTCTACGTAAGTTACTGAAATAGTAAAGTTTCGGGTATTATAAACATAGTGGGGTTTTAGATATGAAGGGTAGAACCCCTTGATGTCCATGAATGGCGTTTTTGGTGTACGCACCGTATTCGACTTCTATTATGAATTGTGGGGAGCTTGAATGCGTATGGCGACGGTGAGAGAGGTGTATATCCGAGAACCCATCCTTGAGCCGTAAGAGTGATAATGCGCCACTTGACACTAGACCAAACTTTGAAGATGTAATCTTATCCTCTCCTCATTTCGACCGCCAAATTCAGTCGTGCTCAACGTAGTTTTGAGAAAAAAACATAATTATCAGAAAAGAGGATAGTGCAAACAAAAAAAGCTTCTAACAGTACGCTCGAATCTCCTTCCTTTACTGGTTCTTGCTCACCGTCGAGGCAATAACCAAATGGAATGTCACGAACCCGAGTGAGAACTGTACTCCCTTGGGTATGGCTACCGAAGCTATTTATTATGCAACAGCCATTTGGAAAAAACTATCGAAATTGATTTCCCTCTTACTTTAACTCTCTCAATTCTTTTTTTCAATCAAAGCTGGAATTTGTAAAAGTTTCTAATGCAGTACCCTTTGCAGATGACAAACTGACAACTTTCTGTGGTACTGCGGTCAATATGATTGTACTATGAGTGGCTACCAATAAATATTTCGAATTGTACCAGTGCGATACAACGATTTGCTCCGTAGCACTGGAAAATTATTTCGATTTAATTTGCACTCAAGGTGCACCATTGTGAAGTCCGAAGTAGTCACAACAAAATAAACACATTCACAAGCAAAAAAAGTCCTGCTTAAATTCCGCATGGGCACATGAACATCCTTTTGACTTGATGACTCGGGGAGTGTTGACTTCCTGAAAATACCAAGGAAGGATCCTGACTTCATGTGGCTGACTTAATGCAACTTCCAATTTTAGCCGCAAGAGGGTTAGAGGGTTCAGTATGCAACTCTAGAAATGAAGAGAGGATGGCGGCAGTCGAAGAAAATGAAACAGAACACTGTTCCAGGATGTACGTGAGCGAAGTGCCATTCAAATATCCATAAGAAACATAAGATACCCATGAGAACGTGTTGCCATATTCTTTCCATCAAAATATTATTTTCAAATGTCCTCCTCCCCCTAAGCATGAGGATTCGTGTTGCGTCTGGTCTCAGAAGGGGGAAAGTCTATGTCCATTTTAAAAGAGTCCATCGCTGCACAGATGAAAAGAAACACGTTCACATTTTCACAAAACTTCCCTCACATGAGGATCATCATATCATCCATCCCATATTTAATGATGCGGTTATTGTAATCGTGAACTCCACCCTCTGGGGGAATGTGAAGTCCCACTTTCAAGTCCAGTCTTCTTCGGCTACACTCTAGGGACACTTTTGAGAACTCTCTCATCACTGTCAGCAAACCGGAACAGGAGCTGAACGACGTCCTCCTTTCGGGTAAAGTGAGTGGGTGTATTCTAGACCCACAGGAAACTTTTTTCATATCGATCCAATCAGATTAGAGAACTCAAAAAAGGGCAGCTGGACTTTACTTGACTGGGCTCTGCTCCTTTACAGATGTATTACCATGATACTATGACACTCCATAACTACATACTTATCAGGGCCGAGGTTGAGGGATGGGAGGTGTCATGAACTAAGTAATAGTAGTGAGCTTAAGTTGTTGATTTCTTCCTATCGATGGCTAGCGAAGAGGTGAACGGCAGCGTGCTCAATCCACACCGATTGGGTGGAGTCGGAGAAAAAAACCAAATTTTTCTATGAAACGATACAAATTTTTGTTTTGTGCTGTTTTAAGCCTTTCCGAGATTCACAACTTTGTCCAGCTTACGTTTTGGCCTCATCGCCTTCTTCAGAGCCTGAAAGCCAAAAAACGAACTGAGGTTGATCCTCACATAAGTCTAATCATACTCAAAACAGTCCTCTAAACCAGTAGAGTACTTGGGCTCGATCAATACAAGGATGCTATATGGCTTACCTCTATACAAACACACAATATATACAAATTTGATGAGACATCTCATTGAAATGCAATAAGTAATGGAATAAAGAAGAGCCAAGTAAGGCCAAAGACTAATGAGAACCGAACAGTATCAAGAGAGATCGGATAGTATCATGCCGACATAGCAACAGTTTCGTGCCGACTTCTAAGGAACCGAATCAGTTGGCAGGGAGAAAGGGTGGCAGGTCAGAGATGATTCAATAAGAAATGATGGGTAGATGTCCTATACATATTGGAATGCTCTTTACAGAATCCTTTTCATTTTATTCTCTGGGAAATTTGACAGCATTTGTTTTCTGAGGTATCGTGAGCCTATAGAAGTTGTAGAAGTTTCTGAGTTCGCAATCTCATAAGCATTTTCTAACATGCTTACCATCAGGAGCTCTTAGCGTCCTTCCTGTTTGACAAGGGATGGGTTACGGTGATACTTTCATTCAGAAGATGAAAAAGCGTTGGGTCTGGGTAACACTCCTAATAGTGACGACAGGTATCCAGGGTGCAGGTAGCTTCAGGTTGTTTGAAAACTTTCCGTGCCGTCTGAGACCAATAGCTGCTCGTATTCATAACCCACTTCTGCTTTACTTATCTAGATTGGAACACGACGAACTCTAAATGAGAGATGGCCTTGCTGATTTTGGTCAAACATTTGATTGCCCTTTCTGAACTGCATTCGGACAGCTCACCATGTTGTTCTACTCATGAGCCACTTAAGGGGACAGAGTGGGTCAGTGTGTGGATGAGCTTGAGCGAAGATAACAAGGTATGGGGTACAGGAGTGAGGGAGGGGGGACAGTATGTTCAGTGGTCCTGCGCTACTTCTTGGAAGTCCGATCAAGAGTAAGAGGTGCAGATTTTTCATAGTCTCCTCAGTGCTTCTCAGATGTTCGGCGTTCAAAGGATACTTAGGCTTATGCAAACAGATTCTGTAAATCTCACATAAGGTATGGTACTTCAAAAGAGAAAAAATAAACGTTTTTGCCCAAAAAGCTCAATTCCAGTCGCTCTAATAACTAATCTTTTCCTTCGACAGACCTTCTCCTAGATGTCTTCTCTCAGATCGGACTTCCCTTGCACTCACTCGCCGGAGAAGCGCTTTTAGGCTAGGCGAGCGTCGATCGGATCGAAGTACACTTCGAAGATCGCTAGGAACCCGGTGGCGATCACGTTCGTTCGTTTCTCTACTCACCTCAACACACACAAACACCCCGATTCTCCCCCCACCTGCGCGGCTCTCCCGTCCTCCCCCCGTTTCTTTCATGAATTTCGATTCCGAACCAGTGTTGCGAATATCCAGTTTTGCAGCATCTTCCCATACACACACATTGGATACCTACTGTTGGCTCTCTGAGATATCACCAAGGGTTCCGCTGAACTTGTCACTTATAGAAAAACAATAAACATTCGTTCGCTTATACTTTCTACCATGCTATTTTCGTTTTCGTTTACGATTCACATCTAGCTTTCCATGTCAACAGCTGGTTTACAGCCAAACATCGGCCGATCTCTCTGAATCTGTTCCACTCGACACTTCGGCAATTGCGTTCCACATTTCAACAATATATAGACTCGTTCTTCCTTTTTTCATGTTCATTTACCATATCGCTTCCGCTTAGCTTGCACTCAGGGTGGTCCCTGGCAAAAAACTTCTTTTCGTTACCAGTTTTATAGCCGCCACTTAGGGCCTATTGACTTTTGGACTCTCGAACTGTGAGCACATTAGGCTATACCTGCTTTAGGCCTTTCCAACTCGTTCATCAGAAAAATATAAAAGGGTGACGGATAGCAAAGAGATGTCTGGAAAGAGCCCCTCTAATTCTTACTAGTAACAAACTACTTTACTACTAATTTATCTATTGAAAAACGGCCTTGATTGATGAGTACATAAGTGGTACAGTTCATCGATAGAACCGGTCGGTTGCTCAAATGCACTACAGTAGGAAGCGGTTGAATATAGAAATGTCTGACATGGGGGAATGTTGAAAAACCGGTTTTCCCTTTGAGTACTGTAACAGTGAACCGATTGAGCTATAGCACTGAAATTCCGTGACTGTTTTGGGACGAGTTTTTTTTTGTCGAGTAGTCGCTTTTTTTGGATTTTTCGATATTACTATTTAAAAACAATTAACGAACCGGAATTCTAGTATGTTAATAGCTATCCATCTTTACTTGTTAAAAAAAACAGCTTCACCATTGGCCTTTGAAACGTTAGAGCCTAAACTTTCGGAATGGATTTCAGATGAAATTGGATAAAAGTAGGAACAGCAGGACCAAAAGCTCTAACATTATAATAAATTTGTATTAATTTTGTTTTAATTAACATGATGTTTATTTATTTTTTATTGTGATTAACTTAATATAATATAATGTAATTTTATTACAATTTTGAGAATTCTAGCGCTTGTCTATCTATGTATCTAAACATCACAAACCAGCTGACTGCTATCATTTACTCGAGTATCAAATCAGTGTTTTCATCGAAAGTTCAATCAGTACACGCTCTCGTAATAAAGTTCAATGTTCAAAGTTCTTGCGAAAGACCCTTTACAACAATATAATAAAAAAGTAGTAGAAGTATCACAGCGAATCCGGCATGCGTATGAGACATCCGAACAGTAGAGTTCAAAGACTCGTAATCGGGCTTGTAAACTGGTTTCGAGAGAACCAGTCTTGTGTCTTGTTGCAAGCGTTTTGCTCCGCTACTTATGAACAACATTACTTTTTTGAGTAATATTTACTTTAAAACCATGTACTGGACAATGTCTTCGAGCCATCAAGTAAAAGCCTACCATAAGGTTAACTGCAGCTAGGAAATTTCGAATTGAAGCCATTTTTTTCAATTTTTAGTGTCAGGAATCCTAATGTGGAGTTACCTCTGAGGGGAACGTTAAGTTAAACTTTATACTTTCAACTCTTCCGCAATGCTTAAACCATTTGTCGCGATCGTCTTGGTGGCCCTGTGCTATCCTGGGATATCAATCGCTTGCGCGCCCAGCGTGACCACGATCAGGGAAGCGGGAGTGACAGAATGAAAAGCAACGAATTCACCGAATTTTTCTGACATCCCATCTTCTCCCCATGTCGAAGTTTTGATGGTGGGCGACCGTAACCACATGTGATACCAAAATACATTCATTGCATCGTTTCATTTCCTGCTTCTAAAAGGAATTTTCGAAAAGTCTCATGTTTCTATCACAATTTCGGACAAATTCTTTCCATCCTTCAAAGTCCGTACAGTAAAACCTCTCGGCACGAGGTCATTCCTGAACCGGAAATTTCCGGTTGACTGGTTTTCACGGGAGTTCGATGACGTGTTTCGGTTAGGCTATTTCTCCTCGTGTCTGTCATGTGGTGATAGGCGCTTATGCGCTGATGATGAAGACAGACGGGGGGTGGGCCTGTTGAACCATCTGCACTTCAATGACTCATGTACTTGTTAGCAATGTTTTTATGCCAGTTTTCTCTACAAATCAACACACACTAGTTGTCTCTTTATCAAATCTTTTAGAAAATTTTGGCTCCAGTTCATAATCGTTATTTTAATTACTGGTTTGCTTTGCGGAATATCAAAATAACCGACAAACTGTCCGCTGAACAAGTCGATTCTCATAGGCTCCTTCCTTGGACCTTGGAGTTCACATTTTATTCTCTGTTTGCATGAGATCTTCCCAGAAACGTTTGCCAGCCTGGAAATTTCTTCACTCGCGTTTCCGATGACTTGTTCTTCAGAAACTCTTAAACCACATTGTTTCATTTTTTATCCCTCCAATTTCAATGGATATTCATTCGATGGTTATCAAAATGAATAAAAAATAAATCGAAAAATTTTTGAACTCTCCTGTGTGGCTTTTGAAGCTTTCTGTCTTCCCATACTACGGACCGCTGGATAATGGGAGTTTTACTTGGCTCGAGCAGATACTGGGCCGGGATTGATCATCGGACCAGAGGTATGATAGCGGCGCCACCGCCACCTACCTCATCTGGCTCCTACCTCAAATAATTTGCCAAATTTAGCTGATCTAGAAATATTTTTGGTTTGGTACTATAGTATTTGGAGGAACGGGGTGAACTGGGCCCACGTCGTTCATTTTGCACCTTCTCATCAAGACAGCGTTTCTTAGCGTTTTGTTAAGCTCTCCTTCTACGCAGTTTCAGATGGGTCTAAAGTTTTTTTTGGAATCATGATAGTGTAATAGTAATCGATAACACTAATCAATATTCACTATAAACTAGGATTCCTCTCCACTATCCGTTGAATAAGGGTGAGAATAGGCACAAATTCAGTTCGCCAAAGTCCAATGTGCGTCGCCATTTCAGTTTTCCACCGATTAATGCCGTTATACGATGATCCATTGATTCTTTCCAGGTTGGCCCACTACTATGGGTGAGGCAGCCCTACGAGCAGCACTTGGATCTGAGCTCTGTCCCGAACACAATACAGAATTCCACCTTCAGCGTTGGCTGATCGGCTACGATGGGGTAAGGATGGAATTTTGATGTTCAACCTGGAAGGATATCTGCCTGAAATGGTTTCAATTACACCTATGTATTAATTCAAAACTTTTCAGGATGTCGCTAAAGCTGCAGAAAAGTACAGAGAATACTCCAGAATACGGAAATCTCTAGGATACGACGATTTTGCCAATGTACAGAGATTATATGTAGATAAGGTTAGGACTGATTTCTCTTCAAATTTTTGCACCATTGAAATGTGGTCCGACTATTTTCTACATCCGTTTTATTTTTTCATAGGATTGACATATGGAACGTAAGAAACTATGAAAGATTCGGATGAGAGGTCGTAGTGAGAGACAAAAAAATAGACACGCCAGGGCGGGACTGAGGTTTTCCTGTCTTAGATGCCCAATGACTAGACTATAGCCAGAATAATCCAGTGAAAGGGCCAAACTTATTGGTAGAATTTTTTCAGTAGAAGGGACTTCAGCTGTCGGCACGGTAAGGTAAGGCGCAGATAGGTTCTACTGATGGTACAATAACTGAAGAAAGGGCTACAAGAGAATAGGAGCTGAATTTACCTCTGAACAGTTATCCGCTTGTTTTTTGTAGTGCGTGGTATGATAAGACCTATTTTTTCGCTTACTTTATCTCGGAGACCCCACATCTGGGGGGGGGGGGTCTTTTAACCATTACTTGTTTTCATTGAGGTAATCCCAAAGTCATTATAGCAAAGCAGTAAAGTATCCATCACAAGCTTGAAGCCATAGTTGCCGGGCCTCCATGTTCTGGTGGTAATATTATCAGAAGAGGTAACTTGCTTCCCCTCCAGAATGTCGATCCTTAGCCCCATTTACTTGGCATTCTAATAGGCCTATAGCAATAAGTTGCTAGCCGCTGTACAAGCCAGAACCCTAGGTCTGTATCAATCCGCGATTCAATTAGGAATCCCAGTTTTTCGCACTGCTGTACTCTTACCCCTCCACTCCTTCTCAAAATGCGTATTGAGGGCTATAAAATTAACATTGAAACAGAAAAATCCATTCTTAATGCGAGTCAATACACAGTTACCATCGGTATAGAGAAAGGGGTTAGAGAATTTGTCGAAGCTGGGTACCTTCCTTTTTATGTGGCTCATTATTTTCCACTGGATATGTTCCTGGAAGTTCCCATTTCTTAGGCCAGCAATCACTTTCTTTAGGGACCCAGTTTCTTCGAACGATGACATGTTGAAAACTAACATTAATGTTGCACGACGGAAGTTTGACCGATATTCCATTGAATTGCAGACAAACTGTGCACGATATGTACGCCAATCGAGGTTGTCGGCAGAATGGTTCAACGAAAAGGATAATGGCATCGTGTTTGTTGAAATGAGTGTCGAGGACCCTAAAAAGGTAAGTACGGATAGGAATAAACGATGGGAATTGGGTTGAAAATCGGTCAGAAAGCCGAACTGACTGTATCCCTTGTGAGAAATGAATATAGGAAGTTTTGAGGTGAAAGGGGATTCCTGTGCGGAAATAAATTCGCATAGGAGATAATCGATAGCATAGAAAACAGAAAGAAATCGAAAATAAACGCGATCGATAAATAAGAAGAAATAACAAATACCTGTGCACTGAACAGTAGAAAATAGTAGCTTCAGAAAATAGCAAGCAGTAGAAAATTCGAAAACATCGGCGAACTGGTCGCTGCCAAAATTTGAATTTGATTGATCAATGATAATGAGTTTGATCAAATTATCTGACCAGCCAAGTAACCTGTGGAAGTTGTGATGTTTTCCTAAAATGTTTTAAGTAAAGTACTGGCGAAGATTACTTACAGTTTATGAAAGTTGTTCGAGTCAGTGAATATCTGCGATCGTTCTTCGGATATTGTGAATACTTCCAACATTTGATTCTGGAGCGAGAAAAACTTACAGGAAGGCCATCACATGGTTCGTTATTGGTTTGTGATTTTTTTCAGTTTGGTGAAAATTCTTGTTTTTAGTGTTCTAAAATGAAATAATTAAAAAGTAAGTATAAGTAAGACTTTTGATTGCGAACCCTTTTTAGATAAATCACTATTTTCACGTGATTTTCTTTGAATTATTTCATTTTCTCTCAAAATTATTGTTTTTTCATTTAATAGGTTGAGTCATAAGTCCTCGGACAAAGTGATAGTGATGACTTCTACTGAACATAACTAGGGAAAGAGGTGAAGAGAGTGGACGCGGGTGGCAACGTTAGAAAGTGTATGAAAAGCTCTTCCAAATACATATTAACGAACACACCTATTTGTTTCCTTCCCTGCAACCATGCCCCATGATTTCAAGCCGTCCCAACTCCATCTCCGCAACACCATCCTACTTCTTTTTTTTTATCTGGCCAAGAACCCGCGGAGATCGATAGACATATTAAGGAAGTTCACAAGAAGGTTGCTCTTGCTAGATGCACAATTTATAAATGGCACTCGAAGTTCACGTCGGACGACTATTCCATCGAAGATGAAGACCGTCCGTGACGCTCAATGGAGTGGGATTTGGGGGTGCTGCGGAGCCAG